AGCCAGCCAGCCAGCCAGCCAGCCAGCCAGCCAGCCAGCCAGCCAGCCAGCAAGCAAGCAAGCAAGCAAGCAAAAACAAACAAGCACATGGCTGTGGGTCAAAACCTGGAGCCCGAAACCCTGGTAGGAGGCCGATGCTAAGCAACCACTTGCAAGTGGCTTAGAGGCCCCCTGTATGGTCATCGACTTCAGAAATCCTGGGGTTGTGGCAATATTCACCTTTTTAAGACATTTTGGAAGCACCTCGAGATGTTATTCCCCAACCGAAGCATCACAATCGACATTAAGACATCCGCTACCGATCTAGGTCGATCTAGGTTGTAGGTTACACCGTTACACCATACACGTCACATTGTACTCGCCAACATACGACAGCGGATTGGAAAACTCCGCCGAGCTGCCACTAATTTATTTGGGTGTCCACAATTTTGTTTGCTCCCTCATAGCAATGCATTATCTCTCCGCTAATTAATGTGCAAGACCACCCTTTTGTATTTATAATCGTGCAAACACTCACAACCATACGTCGGATGCTGTGCGCTATGCCCTCTTTCGCTCATAATTCCTCCATGCAGTCACTACGCATACCTGTCAAGGAAAAGGACCCGTGGGAGCATTTCTTGCAATTTACAGCGTGTGGGCCGGCACTTATCTCCTACCGCAGTCTTCGCTGGCCCTGGTGGCCTTGCCCTCCAACTACAATCAGCCACGCGTGAAAACGAGATGCTTGCCGTACAGAATGGGATTGGGTAGTTCATTCGCTGGTGAAACACCACCATGGGATACCTGCACGACCGTTTGATAGTCACCGTACCGCACAGACGCTTAAAAAAATCGCCGAAAAATGATCGAAAATGTTTGCCATCGATTTGGTCTGCGCGCACCAGAATGCCCAAATTCTACAATGCCCTGTTTTGCAGGATTTCCAAATCCTGTATTGGGCGTGTTCGTGCAAGGTCTTCAAGTGTGCAGCGATGATGCTGAACATCGTGAACTTGGCGTCATTGGAGCTGTACTTCAAGCACATCGAGAAGCTGGTCATCCAGTACCCGCAGTGTTGGTCCTTGATATACACAGCAGGACAGCCGTCAACAGCAGCGCCACAGTCAGCTCCCATCCGAGACTGAGGTCCACTTACCCGGCGGGACAACCCAGGGATACAGCGGCAGACGGACAATCCATATGATGACAACTATTGGCCACAAGATGTGGAGCTATGGGATTGGACGCAAGATGGATGGTGTGATTTGACGAACAGATTTGGTTTTACATGTTTGTGAACAGGAGTTTTCATAGCTACCTTAAATGGCACGCCCTGCATACAGCAAGAGTTTTCAGATTCAGATCGCGTTCTGACGGGCAGTGAGATGATATTTCACTTCATTGTTTCACTGCGCGGTTGCATTCGTAACTGAATGCCGATAGTCGGAGAGTGAACTTTTAATTACTACTCTGTAGCGCGCTAGGATCAGCATGTGTAACCACATGCGACAACTGACTCGTTAGGTTGCGCGTTAGGGTTGCTACGTTCTCCTTGTAAAGATGCATGCGTGAGCTCGATGAGGGAACTTTCTCAAGTGTTCCTTCGTCGCTTTAATTAGCAAAGCTGACGTTTTTCCTACGGGTCACTCCTTGTAAAGGGGGGTGTTGCAATTTCCTTCACACTGGATACCCGTAGTGTACTCGCTCTTAAGCGAGAAAAGTAGAGCATAGCAGTTGTACAGGGTTAGTCGAAATATTAGCGCTGATCCTGTAAAATACAGGTCTGTTGAAACGCAGGGTCATCCGCACCCCGAGCTTCACCAGCAACCTTAGTTGCAAGATTACTGCCAACTATATTGCGCAAATCAACCCAATTGCTGGCGTCACAGTTTTGTCGATGTGATTTGACTTTATGTATGTGGAACTAACTTGGGCTCCATGCTGTACGGATACGATTAACGAGATCAGGGTTCGCAAGAGTATGTTCAAAGTCACAATGGATATCATAAGCAATTCTCAGGCTAGTGTCATGAGTCATGAGGGTTTTGTGCGTCGGTATAGGTATGGACCTCAGGAAAAGTAGGGTCATCCGTGTCCTTTTCCAGAAACCACAACACAGCATACAGTTCAGAACGGCAAATAGTTTGTCGCCCGCGAGTGTGTCGCTCAGAAAGTACGTGGAACAAATTCGAAGTAACGTCTTCAGCGCTTATTTACACTTGCATCCATTGTAGGTTGCGTGGGGATTCCTCCATGGTCTGGGGGCAAACCAGCTACGGTTGCTGGCAGAGGGCCGTCTGGACGTAGCGGTCCAAAAGATTGAGGTGCTCTTGCTGGAGTTGCTGTTGACGTTGGTTGAGGCAGGACAACTTCAGGGATGAACAACCCTTGCTTTGCCGGGCTGGCTGGAGGTATACTGCTGCATCCAAGGCTTTGCCTGCATTGGGCAACGCGTGCACCGTTTGCCGAAGTTCATCCATTTGTTGTTTCAACTCTGAATTGTCTTGGCTGAAGTCCTTGATGTCTCTGCGTAGGCACTCTTGACCGTTGCAATGAAAGTGCTTTGATCTTTTCTTTAGCTGTTGCGAGGGAGTTTGACAACTCATCGCGTTGGAACGTCAGGTCAGTGACTTTGTTGCGTCGTCAGCTGCAGCCGCTTGAGCTGCGTTGCCCTTTTTTTACTGCTGCCTGATACCTAGTCTAGGAACTTTTGATGTTCAGTTCTTAGTTGTTCCAAGAAACTAGTCCCTTCTGAACACTTGGCTGCCGATCGATTCCTTTCCTGTATGTTCACGCGCCTGCTGAGCCTGCATCAAACTGTCCTGTAACGCTCACGTTGTTCCTCCAACGCTTCCTGAAATCGCCTTATTGCAACATTGTCTTCGGACTGAACATGTTGTCGCGCCTCTAGTTGCACTCTCTGGACAGTTGTTTCCGCTGCATTTCTTGCGGCTGCTACTGACTCTGAAGCTTCGCTTTAGTAGAGGTTTTTTAATCTAAGCACCTCGAACTCTGCATCTTGTCGCGCCTGCTCAGCAAGTTGCATTGCATGTACAGTACTTGTAACTCTTGCCTGAGTTCTGAGTCACCTGAACCTCTGTTGACATTGAGGACGCTGAATCTTGCCACTGCCAATGTATTATTGACTGTTGGCACGCCAGCAAGGTCAGCGGGCGGCGTATTAGGTATGGTAGCTTGGGTGGTTGCGCAAGAGGAAAATTGCCTCCACTTCCAACCATCTGCAGATCAGCTTCCGACGCGGCTTGAGGACCTGCAGCAAACAACATTTGTTGCGCCTCTGCTACAGCCTCTTCGTGGCGGCGCACGGCATCAGACCCACTGGCAAAACTGGCGATTATATCACAGTTGTTGCCAAATACATTGTCCATTGTACCATCACCATCCATAGCTCAGTTCAAGTCAGCCTCAGTTGATAACCTGTATTTTGCAGGATCATCAGCGCTAAGATTTCTACTACTCTTAGGAGCCAGAACGCTACGGGTATCCGGGGTGAGGGGAATCTCAACAAGACCCTCAACACGATACCCATTGCATGTTACTCACCAGCATTGGGAGATATTAGCCGTCTGGCTTTGTCTCATTGCCCGTCATGAAAAACATATTCAGTTACGAAATGGCCCACACCAGGTTCGACAAAATGCAACTGAGGCGCAAGAATACAAACACTGACTGCCTAACGAAACTCAAGGGCGCCTATCGCACGCATTTACTGTACAGATTAATATGACTAGTATTACACATGACATATATCTTTATATATCCCTCCGCCTGTTGTTTTTGCTTTCTGTACTTGGGGGAGACGCTTAGTCCATATGGCTTGGAGTTTTTTCATTCAGAAACATAGCCACCTGCTGGCGCAATTCCATCTACAAATGATTCAATGATTGTTGCAAGTTTGAAAGCTCCAACTTGAACACATCGGCGCGTATAGGTTGGATGAGTTTCGACTACCGCGGTCTTTGTTCGAACCGCCCCTTTTACTTGACACAACCACCATTAGGGCGGGAGCTTTACCGAGCCATAGGCTGCTTGGAAAGGCTGCGCGTCTCGACTGCGCGGCTACTCGGTTTGGAACCTTGTGAGTCCTTTCCCCGCTTGATCCTTGGTGCACCTCACACTTCGCTCAAGCTACATTGGTAGCGGGGCCACGGTCCAAGGCTCGCGCGCTCCACTACACCCACACTTTCCACCTCACCCCCTTCTACACCACTACAACCTCTTGAACGCCTTCGACCAGTTCTTCCAGCCCTACCGGTCTACGACCAAGCTACTTCCTGGCCTTCTCCGGGGGAACGAAGGCTTGCTAGCGCTTACACCGTTTGCGCACGCGCTTGCCTACTATGAGAGAGAAACTCGTCGTGGCTTCATCGGCTGAGAGGAAGGAGAAGGCGTAGCAGTCCGAGTCTGTGGGGTTATACTGTAGGTGCTTCGAGAAACTCCTGGCCCTCCTCGACGCTTCCTTTCAGCACGATGCCGAGACAGAGGTTGCCTGCAGATTTCTCCAGCTACTTCGAGTACCAAAGACGCCGCAGTGGACATTGCTGCAATACATCATGGAGATTGATGACACGGCGCTTGGAGAAGCAAGGTTCCAGGCTGGCACATCCTCGCAAAGGCTCACCTGTCCCGCGAGCAGATGCAGGTGATCATGACCCAAGCTGCTTCACTTGAGAGAAAGAAGATACAGGCCTCTTTGTTTGCCATCCTCGGTCAAGACTCGCAACACTACACCCATGAAGAA